GAATTGGCCTTGAAGAGTCCCCAAGCAGGTCATTCCAAGCTTGCTGGTCTGTCACAAATTTTCTATAGTCTTCATTTATTCTCAGAAGCCGCTCACTAAGAGTGCTGTTTGCCAGCAAAGGAAGGGAATCTTCAACTAATCGGCCAAAACTGTCAAGCAAGAACGAATTCACAGTGTTAATGAACTGAAGTTGAAGAGCTTTTCGCATTATTACTTATGTGGAGTTACTATGTAGCAAATGCAAAAACTGTTCAACATCCAAAAGCTTGGGAACTAGTGACTGGGAAGTAGATTGGGGGACCTGTGGCTATCAGATTGTCAGGAAAATAACCATGGCAACCTGTAAACAGGTAGTTGTGTGGATTAGACACATGTCCTGGTCTTTGTTGTGATTTGTCACCAGACAATAAACATTCCTGGAATATTTTCAGATGTTCAAAGTTTTCTGAGTTTGACAGTAGAAGACATGCTTACAGGTGTATTTCAAAGAGAAAGTTGAATAAAACCATGGCGTCATTAAAGAGGACTAGTGTCTTTCAGAAATGAGTTTCCTTTAGGAGACTTCAGGGTTCTCATATAGACAGCTAAAGTGTAAAAGTAGGCAACTTAAATAAATAAATAAAATACATAAATAATGATTTGGAGGTAGCACATCCACAAGGTGGTTCTTTGTCTACCTGATTCCTAGTCAAATTGGAATTTGGAAATGTTGGTTTTTGAGGAGAGGGGAAAACCAGAGTACTCGGAGAAAAACCTCTTGGAGCAAAGGAGAGAACCAACAACAAACTCAACCCACATATGGCGTCAACACCAGGATTTGAACCCAGGCCACACTGGTGGGAGGCAAGCACTCTCACGACTGCACAATCTCTCAAGCAGCCTGGTAACCAAGTGCTGAAGGCAATTTCAGGCTTTCACTCTCTCACTTAACACTTTTCCCCAAAAAGTAGACAGCTCAAACCTCCAAGTAACTGGTTTTTTAGCAGGCTACTAGCACTTAATGAGAACCCTAGACTTAGAAATACGGCTTATCCCATACCTTGAAGCTCTAAGATTTGGTAATCCACTTGACAGCTCCAGGGGATCGCTTGTCTTGGATCCTTTGAAATCACAGAGAAATGACCTTGCAAATGGAAAAATTCCAGCTGAAGGGAGCGCCCTTGGTCGATAAACACCTGAGAATGAAAGGAAACAAAATGGTGTGACCGTTGAAATATTAAATCCTTTTTCAATGGCTTAATACTACCACCCCATGAGCTTTTCACCTAAGACAAGAACAGGAGGGTATTTCCTTTACCCCTTGAAGTAAAATGGTGATTAGTTTGATGTAAGGCCCTGTTCGCACTACGCAATAATTATTTTGTTTGCTTTGCTAAAAAATCTGTCAACAGGAAGCCATTTCCAGTGTGAACAATTTTTTCTCAGAGACGCCGTCGAGAAAACTTGGAGGCCTATCTTTTTTTTGTTCATTGACAGCTATTTTTCATCTTATTTCATGAATGTGCCCAGTTATAGTACCTTTTATTAACTTTTTTGGTTACAAAAAAACTTTTCGGGGCTGCAGGTGTAAAAAAGGTTACAAAAACGAAAAATTAGTAACTACAAAATTTTTGAATTTTTTGCAAAAGCCAAACTCGATTTTTCGTCGTAATGCAAACAGGGCCTTAGTCTCAAAAATGTCTTTGTTTTAATGCAAATGTAAAGTGTTAAGGCATAAAGCACTAATGAGGAAAATTATTGTATCTTTACAATACTGTAAATGGGACTGCCATTTCTACATGCAAAGTTCTAAACAATAAGAAGCAGAGCAAGGGTCCATCCAAAGCCCCCTAAATAAAAACTTCAGACCACAAGTGTTTTTAAAATTTCATAAATGAACCACATTTTATTGACAACATACGCAACAAAATACTTACTGTTAGGTATTCTTGTTGCTCCATAACCTTTCCGATTCCGCACAACCACAAGGATTATAAACAGAACAAGTGGCCACGCTATCTCCACAAGATTTCTTAACTAAAAATGCAAAGTTTAAAGTAAGTAGAATGTCCATGTAACAAAACTAGTTGGGGCATAATCTTGTATAACACTTTCAACTATTGACTTTTCTTATTCCTTGCACAAAGTACATTGTAGGCTTTTGTAACTGAATTAAATAGGGTAGCCATATACCTTGCTATTAAAACTGAAGCTTACACGTGTTCCTCCATGATCTATTGCCCAGTGATATAATATTAAGGTGCTTTCTTCAAGTTCATACTAGGTATTTATACATGTAAATTAAAGGAAGGGTGGACTAAAAACTTTGTGAAAATGGTACGGCAGAATCTGGATTTCTAACTCTTTGAATCCAAAACATGACTTCCTTTCCCAGTCAACCACTCGTAAATTGTACATCCCCCCCACACCGAGTACTCAAGGGCAGTTTGGGTAAGCTGTAACCCCGAGGCTTTCAAACACTCTCCCTATTTAAGACAGAAATAATTCATTTTGCTATCCAGTGTGGGGTAAAATACTCAAGACCGCTTCACTGACGATCAATTTTTTTAGATGTAAAAACACTTGCAGGCATGCAAACAGGGCTCGAAAAAAAGTTCTGTCTGGCTGTCTGAGACAAGTAGATATCCTGGTTAGACAAATAACATTTTAACCTCACTTGATGAGCAAGTGTAAGGGCACATCATCTGGTAACAAAATCATTAGCTAAGACAAGCAAGCAATTGCCCTGGGCAAGCGAAATGTGGGAGCCGGCTGCTTGTCCTTTGGACAAGCTGGAATTCAAGCTTTTTTTTAAGCGCTGATCACAAGGTCTTACGTTTCTCATTCGTGTTACAATGATTTCCTACGGGTGTCTTCAAGAATTATGTCATTATGTTTTCAACGTTTTTTTTAATATTTATTTATTTTTGTAATTTCTTCTAACGATTTTAAATAATATCTTATTGCAGTATTTAGAAAGTAAGTGTCTTCAAGCCAAAAAAAAATTAACTTCAATAGCCATCTTCCAGATATTACACCAAGTCATGAACAAGCAAACAATAAATATAAGATTTATTGTTGATTTCCAAATGTAACTAGGAACGTATATTGAGTGAACCAGTGAGTTATGATTTAAAATCCAAAAGAATCTGATAAAACATTAAGACACGACATGACTCTGAGGAAGTTGATCACAAAAGACAGCATGTTCAATACTATAAAAGTTCCTTCCTCTGAATCATGTACTTTACCTTGCCATGTTTCAAGTGTTTATAAAATTATTTAGACTATTGTCCACTAAGTCCGGACATGCGAATTTTCGAACCAATATTATTTCTTCATTTTAGATTGATTGTAATATTATGACAAAGCTTTTTTTTCTTTGATCAAAAATGGTAAATTTCTCTGGCACCATATTACAGTAACCAAGCAATCGTGAAGACTACAAAATATTTCTTGATACAGATCTTTTTCAGTCCACGCAAAAGTGTGCGGATGATGGGGTCGTTCGTTTACAGAGGGCTGATATGGACGTCAGAGAAAATGTTACGTCATCACCAAAGAAGAAGGATGCAATTTGACCGGCGAAAAATCACATTGGTCTTCCTTTTGACAGAAAAAATAAAATTTTGCAGCTTAAATAAAGTGGATAAGTCATTCTAAGCACGTGCTTTGATATTCTTTTAAAGCGCGCTATGTCCCAAGGAAATCGACAAGCACTTTACGGACGAATTTATCGAGCTCACCAGACCTACATCTAAGAATTCTTCGAAATCATATCACGGAAACACGACCGGCTAAAGGAAAACAGAATGCTAAAATAGGACAGTGAAGTGATCTTGATTCTAGCATTAACGCTTAATTTTACAAGTACACAAAGAAAAACGAGTTATCTTGTTTGCAAACCCGCGGAGATAAAAGCTCGCCCAGAGGAACGAACACCACAGGTACCGGTAGATCGTAGACTCAGCTAGAAGAAGCAGCTGCTACAAAGAAAACAAGCTTTTCCACTTTTTTTTGCCACTGTAAGAACGGAATCGAATCGGCAGTCGTCGGCTGTACGCAAATCACATTTGCAATTTAGAATCATGACGTATAATGACTAAATTAAACTTACATGTTGGCGTTTTCGAAGCGAGAAGTTCTTCCACACGAGTAACTTGAGTTGGTCAAAGAATTTCATTGTGGAAGGGTCCTGAGTATTGTAACCAAAGGATTTTCGGCCAAAAACTGAAAATATAAGATACAATTGCTTTTAAGGGATCACCTTAGAAAACTGAAACTGAAAAAGCGACAAAATGAAAGCAAGATTTTCGATTTAGACTCACCTGGACTGAAGGGACGCAGCAGCCTTGACCGGACTTCAATTTTTTTTCGTCGAAATTTAATATTTCTTTTTCTCCATGCGCGCGTTCTTCAAAGATTCACAGTACCGACAACTGAGGTCTTCGACGATCTGTTTTTGTATGTTATCTGCCGAGCGATTAATGCGCGGATGTAAAAAAAACGTGTTATCAGCAGAAAGAACACCGTTCGACGTCTAAAAGCTCAGGTTTTCCTGTCCTTCTTTTAATTCACAAAACGCATTTGTTTATCATGTGGACAGAGAAAGGACCTGGGTACTGCCATGGAACTGCCATGTCACTGGCACAATCATGACGTAGGTTTGGCAAATAATCGTTCGAGCTCGGAAAATCGATTTTCTCGCAAGAACTGTATGCATTATTTCGTTGTCTTGCACAAAAGGGAATCACAGAAAGTGTATTTATGGAGTAAACTAAAGAAAATTGTCCCTTATTGATGCTCATTTAGAAATTCCATCCAAATATTTTATCAACATTGCGCAAGGCCCGAGGGCCGAGTGAACAGCTAAATGACGTCAGCTTCGGTCAATAATCGTTAAAACTCGGAATTCTATCTACATTCGTAACCAGTCCTCCCCCTATGTTTTGCACGCCTGCCACTTTGAAACAGGTGCAGAGGAAATGAGCATATTTTCCTTTGTTTTTGTTGTTGAATAGTGGTTTAAAAGATTTCCAACACAGAAAATTGCTCGGAATACTTGAAAGGTAAGTTAATCTTATCCGTGTGAAATAATATTGATGATACAGCTGATACCAACGACAAAGATCACCCGAACCAGAAATTACTTGAAATCTCTGCTCTCTGGCGCCCAGCCGGAGTATGTCAACTGTTTATTTTACTTCATATTCTCCGTTTGTCTTCACATTAAATAATCTATAATTTAACCCCAATAATTACAGCTTAAATATTTAGGTGCCGTTTCGTGTTAATTAGAAAACCCATATGTGCGCATTAAAATAATGTCTAAGTAAAATTCTGATCAGTTTCGTCATCACTTAATTTGCAAATATGTCACACAGCCGACCGATTAATCACACAGTGATATAAAAGTGCGCTTAAACCTTGTTTTAATGACGCAAAATCAAGTGAAATTTCTAATATAAATGTTTTATGAATTCATTTAAATCGATTGATAAATATAATGCTTTAATCTGTAGAAATCAGTTAAAAAGGACACGAAAAGAACCTTTAAATTCGTTTTTGTAAAATTTTAATTCGGTGCACAAGAACGCAGAGCTTAATATTTCCTTTCTGCTCTATGTTCCTTGAGTCAGAAAAAATAAGAAAAAACGCCTTAGAAAAAAAAAACCATAAAATTGTTTATTTGGAGTTATGAACAGTATTAAACACAGATCCCCTGCTGACATATTCATGAGTTTCCAAAACCAATGGAAAATACTTAATAACCAACAACAGAATCTTAAAAAAAGTTCTATTATCTTAACAGCTGGAATGTAATGTTTGGTTTTACAGTTTTCAAGACAAGCAAAAGTTTTTTTTTTCAGTGGTGGATCCAGGGGAGGGCTCCTCCCCCCCTAATTTGTAAACCAAATGAGGCCCAAAGGCCGAAAAAAAAATTGTTTTGAGATTTGTTTTTGAACCATTTTGGTCTGAAAATGGGTATAGAATTTGCCTATTTTGATCTGATTTTGGGTATGGTTTTTGAGGGAATATGGGAGTGCATGAACGTATTTTTCATTTCAATTCCAAATGAATAAGAAAGAAAGATTTGAAAATGTGAATTCGAAATGGATTTTAAGAAGTCTTTTTGTTGGTGTCCTAATCTAAGTAATGGTAACTCAAGGTCTAGAAACAGGTATGGATTTTAGAGGTCAGGCCTGAAAGCACATTGCAAATGAACCGAGCAGCACAGCTCCACCACGATTTCCCCGGAATACCCCCTCGGGAGGTAAATCTACCTCCAGACTAAACCACTGGACAGAACTCTGTTCAAGCCCTGAAATACTGATTAAAATGGTTACTTATATTAGTGTAAATAATTATTACTACAATACATACATCATACATTTATTGAATACATCCCCATCTGGGACTTTTTAGTGATAAAAGAGGATTACAAAATTAAAATAATTATACAGGATTACAAGAGCAAAATCTATTATTTTAACCTATTCACATAATTCGGGCAACAGTTTACAATATTATTAATTAAAATGAGAAAAATACCTTTTCATAGATTTGGTATTAAGCAGTTCTATTTATTTTTTTCAGACAATACCATAATCTAGAATAACAGTGTATAGTTACATCACATAACAGTGCCTATTGAAACTTGTCAATTGTAAATGCAAATTTTTTATCAATTAAAAGTGTACCTGTTATTTGTAGTTGGAAAGTGGTGAAACATCGATCAAAAAAAATTTATTTGCAGAGCTGTGGAGGTAAGTAAACATTAAATAAAATAATGTTAAAGAGCTGATTCTAAATAAATAGAGGATTGTTAAAGCAAGCAAATAAATTATAAAATGATAAGAAAATGTAAGCCTCCATTACCTTGATTTTGATTGACCACTGAGTGTTTTTTTCTTTTACAGCTCAGGGACTTTTCAACATATAAAATATATACTAGTTATCCTGAGGAAACCTTCATTGTGGTTTTAAATATGGATGCCAGTGATTGCCAAGGTTGTTGCTATGGCAACGTAGAGACCGAAGCTAGCAACAGATACATGATGGAGAAACATGATACTGTTTATTGCCAAGAGTTTCAACAACATACCCAAAGCAAGGATCCTGTTTGTCCAGATCATCTGAAACACTCCGTTCCTGATGACAACTTGACAAGGTTGTCAAACATGAATATCTGCAATGGTGATGAAGTACATAGTGCTAATGAAACAATGCCACGCCAGCACTGGTCATTGGCAACTTTTCCACCAGAGTTAATTCTTGTGATCTTTTCATATCTTGATGCACGTTTTACATTAAGGGTGTTGGCATGTGTATGCAAACTGTTCCATAGTCTTCTATCACCTGAATCTAGCTGGAAAACAAGATTTGGTAAACGATGGCCAAGAAGGAACAACAGGGAAGATTATGACTCTGTATCAAGGTTTGAGTGACAGTTTTGCTTATGTTGCCACTGTGGTTTCTTAAGCTCTCATAACAAGTTTCCAGTAGGCCCTGTGTTTTTAACTTATATCAATTTTGTTTTGTAGTTGGAAGAGAATATGTGTTCAGCAAGAGGATCTGGACAAGTTTTGGCACGATCCAACGTCCTCTCTGGACTTTTATCAGCTAAAAGATCAGCATTTTGCTCCAGTGGATACAGTTCAAATTATGAATAGTGCTGATCTGTGCATCTCAGGGGCGAGAGATCGTGCAGTGGGTGTGTGGAGTCTATCAGCTTTAGCAGATCCCCTGGAGGAAGGATATGCTAAGAAGTCTTTTAAGCAATCACTTGATGGGCACAGGGTGTGTAACTAGATTTGGTAAACTCTGGAGGCAGCGTTGCCGAGTGGTCAGCACGTTGGACTCGCAATCTGGCGGTTCCAGGTGCGAGTCCTACTTTGGCCACTTGCTGGATTTGTTTTCGGTTGTCCCGAGTTCAAATCCTTGGCCACGCTTGTAAATAGCCAACTGGTTCCCTCCTGCCAGTTGGGGTTGTTAATCCTGTTATGTTATATTTAAATTATTTGTTTCTAAAGTATTTGAGTGGAGTGCCTGCACATGTAGATTAGCTGAGTAAGCTAAGTGCACTTTCCACTATAGACAAGCCTTTAGTTTGATACACTGTATGTAGCAGGGGTCTGTTGATGACTGCAGGGGTAGTATGAAACGCTTTTCATTGATCTTATGATGGACACACAGCGTGCAAAGAAAGTAGTGTCCGATAGTCCGGGGCTAGTGGATTTTGCTATTGGGCTAGTGAAATCTGTTTTTAACTTGCCCGACGGGCAAGTGATGTTCTTTAAGGAATTCGAATAACAGAAGAAGTGTGAAATCAATTCTGCTTGACGAAAAGCTTTTGGGGCTAGTTGAAATGACGTCTGGGCTAGTAAATGCTAGCTTCAGCTTGTCCGAATGGCAAGCTGTAAAAATGATTTTCATTGCACCCTGGACACAGAGCTTGTGACATTCAAGTTGATCCTTGGTGTGCAGCAAGGCCATGTAGATGGCTTCAGATTTAGGTATGCATCTTGATAACAGCCAAAGGTTCTGGTTGCTGAAGAAATAGCAGTATTAAGATCTTAATTAATTCAATTACAGGGTTGATTACCTCACTGATCTCTTAATGGTGCTTGGACATCTCTTAAGGGACCTGAGGATAAGTGATATTCATTGATCAATAGTCTAAATGAGTTAGCTGATCTCCTGTGTGTCACAGTTATACCAGCAGGTCTAAAATACAGGTCACTTTTCCACAGGTCAGAGTACAGGTCACCATGATACAAATAAATAAATAGCATTAAAAGTGTCTCCTAGCCCTGACTTCTTAACATAATGCTCTATTAGATTGAGGGGAATCTATGTGGTTTGGTAATTTATCAATGGAGCAGTGACCTGTATTGTCAAACTGTGGAATGAAACCTGTACTTTAGACCCGACCTATTTTGGTGATTTCAGGGTTGGGTTTGGTGCCTTGGTAGTGATCCTACAGGGGCTCCAAGAGTGTGCTCAGGATCTTGGGATCATAAGATTAAATTGTGGGACCTTCAGGGACAAAGTGCTGAGATGACCACAATCAGGTGGGTAATATTGAATTGACAGATAGTTACAGTGTGGTGTTTAACCCATTCTCACAATTAAGGCCCACCTTCATCTTATCCTTCATCTTATCGGTTATAATATAACCATTTGGCTTTCTAATCAGGGGTTTCAATAAGCACCGATGGCCAATGAAAGACATCGGCTACTTTGCTCATAGAAGTCGGCTACTTTTTTTCTAGAAAGAAGAAGCTACTAGTTTGAATAACGTTGCAAACGAAAAATATATCATAAAATCTGAATGAAAAATTAATGTAATTATTATGTGTTTTCATAATATAAAGGCCCACTGGTTTACGTTATGCTTTAGTTATGTGAACACTACATTTCAGTCATTTTTTTACAAGTTTCTTTATAGGTTTAAAAAAGTAAGTAATTTAGTTCATTTGTTCGTTGCCTGCACAAATTGATTGTGTGACTGATAAATATTGAAAGCTACATTTCCTTGAATGAAAAACACACTCTTCTGTCCTCAATTTTAGTCCCCAGAATGCTGAAAATTGCATTTTAGGACTTTGAAGTTTCAAAATTTTCTGGGGCAGAACGCACCTAGACCCCCTCATCCCCCGACTCTCTCTTAGAAAAAGGGGACTAACGACCCCTTGTTGATATAGTCGGTTACTTTATTCAAACCTGCTGCCAACTTTAATTTTTGTTGAACCCCCTGCTAAGTTTTAAAGAGCTTGCATTCTTTTTTGCAATTTAATTGGTTGATTCTTTGAAATGATGGGGTTTTATGTCATGGAAAGTGTTTTTTGGTGTGAAGTGCATCCAGGGAAACCTTTAAAAACCAACATATACACCTACATAAATACACATACTTAAACAACATATACACATAATTAATCATGAAGTATGTATGTCTCAGCTGGATTTATATGTCAAGAAGTTGTGTATACCTTAGGTTACTGCATCAACAAACACTCACAAACATTTAAAAATACAATTTTGTATAGTTTCTAAATGGTATCAAAGAAAAGTGCTACTTGGTAGTCTTCTCTCAATGACCAAACATGTATACTTTGGATATAGCTCATTGATTGTTGCAGAAATCAAAACCCACTGTATAGAATCCAAGTAAACCGCAATTCTCAGGAAAAAATATTAGATTCCCATTTTTGGATATTTTATGGTATTTAAAGAATACCCACAAAAATCCCAAATTTGGAAGAGTGAGACAAGTCCCAACCAGGGAACTTGGTTGGAAATTTCCTGGTTGGGACTTGTCTCACTCTTCCAAATTTGGGATTTTTGTGGGTATAATTCTTTAAATACCCTAAAATATCCAATATTGGGAATCTGTTTTTTTTTTCCTGTGCAACATGGCACAAAATTGACCACTACAGAAAATACCATAACATACCATAACGCTCTTTGTTTGTCACTCCAAAATTTTGCATAAGCATTGTTTTTAGTTTCTCTTGGGGCCATTTCAACTCCCAAGAGAAACATGCAAAATTTTGGGATGACAAACAAAGAGCATTATGGTATGTTATGTTATTTTCTGTAGTGGTCAATTGCATTACAGCTCTAATTTGATTGGTCACATGTTAGGATTTGCATACAAAGAATAAAATTAATGCTGAGATGAGACCATCAGGGTATGAAACACTGCTGAATTTCATTGATAGTCTTGTTTTTCAAACCATAGTTAGAAGAGGATTCAAACTAGTAAATGCTGGGGCATTAAAATCTAGCTCAAGTATATGGTATTAGCCAGACTGCAGAGTTCTGTGCTGTGGTCACTTCTCTGAGATGGTTTATTGTAAAAGTCCTGTATTGTTGTTGTCCCTTTGTCATGAAATCATTTTACCGGTACATTTTTTTTAAAAACTTACAGTGCCCATAAGGCAGCTGTGTTGTGTTTGTCTTGGGAACAGGATATGCTAATTTCTGGCTCTTATGACAAAACCATTGTCATGTGGGATCTTAGAGGTAAGTGAAATCACTCATCAAGTACCCTGGCCTATTATTTCATTGGCTCCACTCAAGCCATTGCTTTTATCATAATAATAATATATAGATTTGGCCAGGCCTAAACGTGAAGCATTTGCCTATTCATTTATACATGAAAGACCTTGATCCTTTGTTATCCTTCTGCTTATTTTATAACAACTTTAAAAGGCCACAGCCATTAACAGAGCCCTGCTTTTAGTGGTCAGTTGTTGATTTCATGTAACTTTGAAACAGTAAATAGCTTGAATTCTTTTCTTGTCCTTCCAGCTGGAAATTTTGAAAAAAAAAAAAACACTCTACAAAAGCACACTTAACCTGTGCTGTGTACTACTGTTATAAAGTTGATACCATCCACCAGTTAATAGAAGGGCTGTCATGAAAGCCAAATGGCAAAACACAGTAATTAATATTACAAGGGTCTCTTATTGGCAAGAGGTTAACTGTAATGGAGCAGCTTTGGTCCTTTTTCTTATTATTCTGCCTGGTGATTCTACAAGTACGTTTATAGGTTGCGGAAAAACCTTAACTGTGTCGTTTAAGCATCCTTTGATTAATATTGCAGGGGATTTGTGAAAGCCAAAATGGTAAATCACTGATAACGGGTCTTACTGTACAATGAATTTCATGAAAATGATGAGCTAATTTTTTTATTATTTTAGCTGGTAATTCTATGAGTACTGTAAGAAAAACACACTAAATCTGTATCAATTGCCTTACTGTGAAAGTTAATACCATGTGTTAATAACTAGCTGAGGTGCCACAGAAACCAGATTGTTAAACACAGCTATTGTCCATGAATTTGGTCTCTTAATGGTAACTGGCTTGGTTAAGCTGTTAACATGTTTCTGATTCTTTCTTCAACATTCCAGCTGGCAATTCCATAGGCTCTTTAAAGAACCATAGTAAACCGGTCCTGTGTCTTACTGTTGATGACCGTTTCATCATTAGTGGAAGCGAAGATAAAACACTCTCAGTGTACGACAGGAGAGCAGCTCAAGTTTATAAAAGTGTTAAGGTACTGTTTTGTCTTCCCTCACTATATAATTCTTAATTATCTAAAATAATGAAAAAGAGTAGGATCTTTACAGTAAAAAATAACAACCAAAGCGGTTGAAAATGAACCTGAAAAAATTTAGGCTTGATCGGGATTCAAACCCTGACCTTTGTGATGGCCGCCGGACGCAACGCTCCATTCCTTGAGCTAATCAAACCAACTGGAGAGCAGGCCATTGTGAGTTCGTAATATACCCGATAGTGGAAATCATATGAATTGAAATATGAAATTTTGAAGTGCCAATAAAGATATGAAAGTGTGCATGATCTTCACATTGGAATGAACAACCTATTAAAGGGGTTGAAAAAGAACAAGAAAAAATTCAGGCTTGACCGGGAACGAACCCTGATGCATTTCATATTTTTCAATTCATATCTAAAGTATGCGCCTTGTTAAGGTTGCTTAAATGCCCCTAAAAAGTTGAAGGGACGTAGGTTAGTTGTGAGGATTTCATGTAAGTAATAGTGCCCATGTTGTGTTTTTAGTGTTTTTGTACCCTTTAGAAACGTCTTGTAAGCTGAAGCATTTAATAGATATGGCTTAACTACATTAGGTAAAGCAATATATTGCTTTCTGGTGTACGTTATTGCTAACGTTAGTGATTTTTTGGCGGTTCATTTGACAGTTATAAGGCTTTTTGTTTAAAAGTCAGTGCTTTTTGGTAACGGTTAACTTACATTTAGAAGGTTGTATTTGTCGTCCTCAGCTTAAAACTCCAGTGTTTAGCTTGTGCCAAAGCTCCACATGTGGCTACAATTACCTGAGAGTCGGGGGCAGAGATGGCCGCCTGCACATGCTGGATACAACTGCCGATAGATTTGAGGAACTAACAGTGAGTTGAAAGATTCTTTTGGGGTTTAGCAACATCTAGTATTTAGGAGATTTAACAGCAAGACTATAAAAAGGACCCTATGCAACAACAAACCATAACAGGCGAAAGAATTGGCACTTTTTTGCCATCCTAAACAATTTATCTTCTCTTCTCCGAACCTTGATGCGGTATCTAAAAATTCATTTCCTGGAAAATCCAACGGTATCTACACTTTTTCGAAATGGACTGACATAAATACATAGCAAACTTAGTATAGGCGACCTATTGTGCAGTTAAATCACTAGAGAGCACATCTTATTTAACTAGAGAAAGTAAAATTCATCGTTGGGTGTCCAACTGTTCCATAAAATGTCCCAACACAAAATTACACGCCTTAGTTCGCAGAGGAAAACAACTTGGAAATGTACTAAATAGTGCCGGGTCCAGACCTCGAGATAAGCGGGGCGGGGGGGGGGCGGTCTCCAAAAAAAATTTTCGGTCCTTCGGGCCTCAGTTTGGTCTAAAAATAAAAGAAGGGGGCCGGGTCCCCACGCCCCTCCCCTGGATCCGCCTTTGCTAAAAAGAGTGATGCACGGGCAAATTTGTTGTGTCCGCCACAATCTGATTCTGGGAGTCTTAAAACATCTACATGTGGTGCGATACTTGAATGATATCTGATGAGAAGGTTTTCATTCAAGAAAATGAGTATAAGCGAGACAGGGAGCTTCTTATATTTGGCTTATTGTTTGTTTACTGTTTTTAGCCCAGTATAGAACTAGGACAGGAATCAAATGGAAAAATCTCTGGAATCTGCCACTACGGCGGTGCAGTTGTTGCTTGTTCAACTGACAAAAGTATTAAGGTATGATACATTAGAGCGGCTCTGTCATGGCTGTTTACTTTGTTTTTGAGCGACCCACGTCAATCGGAAGTGCGATCGAAGCGAGCCGCGCGAGAACGTGCGAGCTAGCGGCGAAGCCGCCCTCGCTTTCGCGTCTCCTCTCGCGTGCCCCTCGCGCGTCTACTTTTCACAATATCCCACAAATGGAGAGCTTGCTCGCAGGCTACAAAGAATTTGGAATGCAGGACCTACAACAGATTCCGGAATCCACAATCCAGGACTGTCTTGGATTACTACATATGTTACATGGGGCAAATTGTGATACGATGTGTGGTAAAATGACATGGATGTTAAAAACTGAATAAAGTTTTGATATCTCAGTGCATCACCCAGTTTCTCTTAGTCTTAACCGCCCCTCACAGAATGTCAAGTCAAGGAGTCTCCAGGAAAAACGATTGTGTATGTCTCGGTGTTAATTAAATCATGCTGAAGAGTAGATCACTTTACATTCAACTCAAAGAGGGTGTTGTTTGTGGTCGAGTGTAGTACTTATCTTTATGATCGTCAACCACTAATATCTGTTGCTTACTTTTGTCCGTTGATGTGGTGTTTGTTCTGCAGGTATTGGAACCATCCCGTGTTCTTTCTGTTATTCATACATTTGACTGTCATACCGGAGAAGTAACAGCGGTAAGTAAAAGTTTCTTCGATAGTTCGGCCGTTTTTTACGTTGTCGCACAACTCTCCTCCCTCCTTGTTGGAAGAAGCGTTGCGTGACGGCACACAGAACTGTGGTGTAGCAGACAACGTAGTCTCTTACGTAGCTGTATTTTTTACGTCATGCACAGCTCCTCACCACATTGCGTAACAACACGAACAGCTGCTGGGTGGGACACATCGTTAATGCTTCAGTCAGCCTGCGTGGCAAGCGTTTGGAGTGGAAGGGGTGTAATTCGGGCGCTTGGGGAAGTGGGGAACTCGGCTGCTCGGGGAAGAGGGGAATTCGGGCGCTCGGGAAAGGAGGGAATTCGGGCGCTCTTCACCCCATTCCCCGAGCGCCAGAATTCCCCCCTTCCCCTTTTCCCTTTTGAAGCCTGCCACACAAGCCACGTGACAAAATGTGGTGAGATGAGAGGTTATAGAAGTCTGCCTCCTGTCAATATTGCTAGATCTACTGGATCAAGGACGAGGAATTGCTCAAACAAAAATCCCGCAGGCAAAATAGAAATCCCGTTGTCCCGTAATACTTCACATATTCAGAGCCTACATCGGAAGTTGATGTTGGCTTGTGCTGATAGTAGGGACTTTACGATAGGACGACGCGAAGGCAGCGAAAACGTCGCTTCAAAAATGAATTTGCGTTCTTTCGTCTTTATCGCGATTATTTCAACTCACTTACCTCGTCAAATGTAGGCGAACCCTCACGGAGTTGAATTCAAAGAACCATATTCAAGTTTAGAAAGAGAGTAAAATCTCATCGTGGCCTATCTACGTCCTCCAGAAAAAGTAAAATTTGGCAATTTCACGTCGTAGTCGTGCAAAAACGGCAAAGAAATGTACAAAAACGTGAGATGCACGTGCAAAGTTGTCGTTTTGCCTACTAAATCTATTGTTGTTTTGGACGTTCTCGTTGCCGTCGCGTTGTCGGATCGTAAAGTCCCCAATATTGTGCACAGAGCGTCGACAGTTACATGCGCTCAAGGTTGAGAAACCCGTCGTATCTTGAAATGTGAAATATGACTTATTGGGCACATCCTCGCATCAGCATTTTTTGCTTAATCTATTTTCTTGCCTCATAAAGTTTGTATTTAAAAAGATTATTGTCATTTCCTTTCAGGTAAACAGCGGAGGCTCGGTGTTAGCATCATGTTCAAGTGACCTTACTATTGGGATATGGAGACCCAAAAGTCTGAGGCCCGTGGCGATTATCTGATAACAATGATGCTAGTGGTATTAATGTTGGCGTCATGTTCTGATAATTGCGTGCTTGCCTGGATCAATTCTGGCGTGAAGATGTGGCTGACAAGCCCAAACCAAGACTGATGATAACAGTAAAGCAAGTACATGTATGTCGGTCACAAATAACAATGAGCTGGTTTCTGTAGTTGCACTATAACTGATGACGAGATTTAGGAAAATGTTGACAATGTTATTATTGGTGATGATAATAATAGAGAGTTTACGCAACGACGACGACAACGGCATCGAGAAAGGCAAAAAAGCAATAGGTTTAGACAAGCAAAACAACAACTTTGCACGTGCATCACGCTTTTTTGTACATTTCTCTGCAGTCGTTGCACCACTACAACGTGAAACTTCCTAATTTCACGTTTTGTCGGGGACGGGAGCAAAAGACAACAACTTTCTTTTACTTTTCCTGAATTTTGATGTAGTCCTTTAGAATTCAACTCCAAACAAATTTGCCAACATTTGACACATTAAACGAGATGGAATAAGCGCGATTAAGTTTGAGACAGCGCAAATTCACTTTTTAAGTGACGTTTTCGTCGCCGTCGTAGTTGCGTAAACTAGCTAATGATGATGGTGGTGGCGGTCGTGATGATGATGATGATGACTGCGACGACCCCAAGTGGCGGTGGTAGTAGTTACAGTCATCATCATCAACATAATCACTATCGTCATTATCATATCGTCATGATTTTAATGGTCGTGATCAGAGGAGGATCGAATAGTATCCCATGATGCATTTTTCCAGAAGCATCACGCAATATCGCAGTCATAGCAGGTTCCATCTTGAAATAAGGTCGTTTTCTCGTCGGCTTTTTTCTCACTCGATTTCCAGTAATATTTCCTTTCAGGTAAACAGCGGAGGCTCGGTGTTAGCATCATGTTCAAGTGACCTTACTATTGGGATATGGAGACCCAAAAGTCTGAGGCCCGTGGCGATTATCTGATTACAATGATGCTGGTGGTATTAATGTTGGCGTCATGTTCTGATAATTGCGTGCTTGCCTGGATCAATTCTGGCGTAAGGATGTGGCTGACAAGCCCAAACCAAGACTGATGATAACAGTAAAGCAAGTACATGTATGTCGGTCACAAATAACAATGAGCTGGTTTCTGTAGTTGCACTCTAACTGATGACGAGATAAGGACGATAAACCGAAGGCCCCGTCTCACGAGCCCTTGCACATGTAATAAATCTGTGGGACGTTAAAGAATCCACACACTCTTCGTAAAGAGTAGGGCACGTAGTGCCCGGTGTAGTGGTCTATCTCACTTTCACACTCATGTATGGGGGCATCATTACTCATTCCTTCATTACTTGTAAACTGCACCTAAGCAGTCTGGCAAAGTCCCCCAACCAGTGTTGTAAATTATCCCTGAAAAGCACTGAAGGGAGTGGATAATAAGATATTTACAATTTACAATTTAGATTGAGGAAAATGTTGACAGTGTTATTATCGGTGATGATGATAATGATGGTGGTGGCGGTGGTGGTGGAGGAGGTCGTGATGATAATGATGACGACTACGACGACCCTAAGTGGCGGTGGTAGTAGTTACGGTCATCATCATCAGCATTATCACTATCGTTATTATCATATCATCATGATTTTAATGGTCGTGATGATTGTGATGGTGATTACGTTGGTGATGGTGTTGGAAATGGTGTTAATGATGATGGTAATGGGAAGCTCACGCAACGACGACGGCTGTGAACACGTCGCTAAAAAATAAATTTGCGTGCTTTTAAATAGCCTGCTTTATCGCATTTATTCTAACCCGCTCAATTTGTCAAATGTAGGCGATTTCTCCTGGGGTCAGTTTCGTAAGGGCTTTATCCAGGTTCAAAAAGAGGAAGAAAAATTCGCCGTCGTATGTTCACGTCCCCCACAAAACGTCGTGTTAAGAGGTTTTCACGTCGTAGTCGCGCAGTGGACGTCAAAGAAATGTACTAACAAGTGTAATACACGTGCAGAGCTGTTGTTTTGCTCATAAACCAATTGCGTTTGGACCTTTTCGTTGTCGCCTTCGTCGTGGCTGCTATGACGTTGGCGATGGTGCTGATGGTGATGGTTATGATAACAGTGACACTAAAGATTAGGATTATGAAGTACGACCTTACTTTTTATTTAACTGAAGTGTTAAACATACATTACTCGTACGAAGCGCACTGTACCAAACTGTAAATAGCCAAAAAATAAGTGTGTATATGGCGTTATTTAAAAGCTATTTTCTGTAACGACAGAAGCAGAACGGTTGTCAAATACTTGTTTAATCAATTGTAGGTTGTTGTTGTTGTTGTTGCTTTTTTAAACTAACCGTCGTGGTAAAGTTTATCTTGTTAACACAAACTGCAGCGTTATTATACTCAGTCTTGGGAAAAAAATGTTACACAGAAAAAAATCAGTTTCATCAAAACTGAAGCCACTAAAAGTGGGGGAAGTTTCTGTAATTGCTTGTTAGAACCATCGCTGCAGCGCACCAAAACAAAAGCATGCGTCGAACTATCGATGTTGGCGTTGCTTGCAAAGCGTGTATCCCTGCCAGGATCAAGTTCGTTTGTTGCGCGTATCACCAAGCCGTTATTAGCTACTCCATTATTCCAGTCTTTCACAGCATACGTGACGTCAAACTCCACGAAACCTTTTGGTCGGTGGGGAAAGATAGTGACAGTTCCTTGCTGGGGAGTTGCCTCAGCGTCTCTGCCGTCAAGCGCTAGCCATGGGGAAGACCACGGGACGCCTCGGAGTCGCATGGTACTGGTTGTTTGAGATTCGTTCCATGCTTTTTTAACCAGGTACACTCGCAAATAACGCGAAAATAAAGGGACACTTTTGATAGACATGAAACTTGCTTTGTGCGAGTATTGAAAGTACAGGTACATTTTGGCTGAAATTACATTTGATGATGGACATGAACTGGGAAGATCTTCAAACTGGACCAATGAGCGCTTGTTGGGATACTCCGAGTGTTTGGATACTATGAGATATTCCAAAGTGTTAAAATTTTGGCTTCCCCTTTCTAGAGTGACATCTTGAGTCACACTTAGCTTGTGCACTTTACCGGCGCCTGTGTCAAATGTCATCACACCACATGCAGGAGGAGTTACTAACACCGCCACCAACAAGGCCATAACGCTTGCTGCTGATTGTTCCATGCCCTAAACAAAAACATGCAGTTTAATGGACAAGGCCAAGGTCTTATATGAGGATATGTGAGAGCCCGGGGGGTACTCCTGGGAATTCTTGGTAGGGGTGTGCCGCCCGGTTATCCAAATCCTGACCCTATCTCAGACAAGAAATGTCATTTTCCACACCCGACAGAACTGACCTCTTAAGTCCACACCCTTTTTCAGACCTGGCCTTAAGGCAGAGACTATGTCATCATTACCTAGAATAGAGCGCAAGCAAAACAATTTCTTCAAATGCATTTCGAATTCTCATTTTTTTTTTTTCTTATTCACTTGTAATTAAAACGATAAATACGTTCATACGTTCCCCTAGTTCCCTCTAAAACTCATAAAGACTATATCCGATTCCAGACCAAAATGGGCAAAGTGGAGTACCCGTTTTCAGACCAAAAAGGCCCAAAAACCATACCCTTTGGGGGTGGCACATACCTTTCAGGGAGTACCCCCCGGTAGCGAGAACTCGTCATTGGTTGCAAAGTGGAAAACTGTCATATCTCTTGAATGGTGATATTTATATTGTCTATGGCTGCGTAAGCAGGTTACTTAAGCGAAAGACATGAGCTTATATTGCCTCCTTCCGATTGCCCACCTTGTTCTCAAAAGTCATAATTTCTTTTGGCCTCATGATCAATCCTTCATTGAGCAAGCGGAAGGTCAAGATGGGATATTGGCTTTTTTTTTCCTTTTGTGCGACTCCTCCTCCGCAATTATGTTTTCTTGTTTACATTCACTGTGCACTAAACATTCTTCAAAGTGTGCTGGTGCCTCAAAACAATGTCAAATCTTGTTCCTTATTTTAATATCTCCAGGTGGAAAAACCCAAGCACTCTAGACGAATGATTGAAATCGAGACGAATAGACGCTTCGTTTAGTTAGTATAGCTTCAAGCATTTGCGTGTATAGTTTTACACTTACTTAATAAAACCATCACAAGTTTATTGCTAAATATGGAAACTCAATAGCTTCGCTACTTACCAGAAGTAAAATCAGGGAATAAGACTTCAATCCTGTTTTACACTGCGACTCGTCCGTTTTACTACTTATCAATGCAGATACATTGACGCCACATTGATTTTCTTCATCAGCAATGAGGTGATCCAATTCAGCGTTTTTGACAGCATTATATTGAAGACATTCCACATAGGGGAGCTTAGCCAACAAGAATCGTCGAAAGGCGGTTTTAACTAGGCTGCCAAGGGGCGACTTTTTTCCGAGGGGAGGGGCTGCCTGTTAACACTCAGGACACCAAATAACCTCGTCGCCGACCATTGTGTGACATAGAATCTCATTTGAGAGTGAAACATAAACTCATTTGAACATTGTACACGTTTGGAAGACTTTCGTAACAAGAAAAATGAATACCATTTTTAAGTCGGGGCTGTATAGTAACTGTTAAATTCCACCATTACCAATAAAAATGAGCAAGTTAGCCATTCTAAGCAGGAAACGATTAGCATTATTCTAACGCACCCCTGCCCCAATCCCTCTGTCCGCCAAATTATAGCGTGATAGTATAATGTCACCAATTTGACCTAACCGGAAATTCCAAAAATTATTGTCGTTCATAAATGGACAGGGTCAGCTATACTGATAACCAGCATTACATTTTTCAATTAATTCTGGACAAAGCAAATTACAATAAGGTTTGTTTTTGTCTGATATTGCGTTTATAGCCTTTCTGCCTGTATGTATTTTTGGACGTGACTATCTACAATGAGTACATTCCTTTCCTGTAAGGAATGACTTTTCACTCGCAGAGCAAGAATTGCAATAAGATAAAAAGAGACTTTAAACGGATTAAAGCGAAGAGAAACCGCGAAAGCGATAGACTGCGGAACAGTCCGTATTTTTGCGTATTCAAGAACGCGCGAGCAGTCAAACAAAACGTCTGGAACGAGGCTGAAAACAGAGAGCGAGATTGGGGGGAGACGCTAAAATAGGGGCGTGTGAGGCTCGTGCGCTTCGCGCGCGTAAGACTCTTACGCCACACTTTACCCGGATTTCTTTACTGATTTTGAGAAAAAAAACCGACTGTTTTGCAGTCTACGAAAGTGACCCATCCTACCATCTTTCGAAGAAGGAACTGAAAAAAAACTGCGAATGAAATCTTGACACAGAGAGATTTGCAATCAAGTTTGGAAGGAAAGAAACTCCTCGAAAGGTTTAAACTTCAAAAAGAAGTGAAGAAAAAACCCAAAAGTGCTCATCGTAGCATCTTTTCAACGAGACGATGAAAAAGCGCAGTGTTCATAGTGTTCATTTTCTCGACATAAATCCCGGAATACCGGGAGGAGGGGTACTCCCTTACATTAATCTTATAGTTATTGCTCTGAAATAGTGTCAAGATTTAGACTGCGAGCAGTCTCTTATTTTTCTTTGCAAAGTTACTGCACGCAAAACCAGAGCAGGCGAGCGGCAAAGCCGCGAGAAACGAGGGCTCAATCCCTTATTGTGATAATAACGTCATGGTTTGCAATCGCGCTGGATGAGATAAGAACTAGACGGATTTTAAGAGAAAAGGCGGACTGCAAGCAGTCTAGTCAAGATTAGGAGAGCCGGACGGTGCACCGCCACTACGACTTCCCAGAAATACCCCCGAGAAGGGAACGTATTTTATAAACTGGGCTCGCCACGTGCACCGGCAGCCCAGTTACAAAGAAAACGATACTCACTGTTTACAAACACTATATTTTTTAAGAAGGTAACAAAAGAATCTTTAGTTTCAAGAAACAATGCACTTGTGGTTGGAACATGATTTGGGAGTTCACGCAACCACGACATCGAAGGCAAAGACAACATCTAAAAAGTATTTTATATTAGGGTTTTCGCATGACGTCAGGTCTGCCATATTGGTGTCCCTATATAATAAAACGGTTGCAAAAATGACGTCTGCTGACGGAGCAAAGTGGACGAAAGATAACTTGGGTACCCGGCGTGTGAACAAAGCGCCATTTTGTACCCGTGCCCGGGAACTAGTGCCCTGAAGTGTGAACGCACCTTTAGCCTGCGAGCAAGCTCTCCACGAGGTACAGGAGAGGGGGAGGGTTCAGAGCTCTCCGGAAAGCTTGCTCGCAGGCTTAAGAGTACTGACCACTGAAAATATAAAGTCTTATCTTTAACTTTTACAGACAAAATATTGTTCGAGACGCTTTAACGACTTTCTTAGTTTCCGTCTGCTTCAGCCATAGAGATAGCTATAGTTTATGCTCAGTCTCGGGAAAAAAATGTTGCACAGAAAAGAATTACAGCAAAGCTGAAGCCGTACAAACGAAGAATGCGAAAATGAACGCCATCAAAGAACTTTTATGAATGGACCAGCCACCCCCTTGTTTCTGTAATTGCTTATTAGTACCATCGCTGCAGCGCACCAAAACAAACGCATACGTCGAACTATCCATGTTGGCGTTGCTGGCAAAACGTGTATCCCTGCCAGGCTCAAGCTCGTTTGTTGCGCGTATCACCAAGCCGTTATTAGGTACTCCACTACTCCAGTCCTTCACTGCATTCGTGACGTCAAACTCCACAAAACCTTTGGGTTGGTGCGGAAATATAGTGACAGTTCCTTGCTGGGGAGTTGCCTCAGCGTCGGTGCCATCCAGCGCTAGCCACGGAGAAGACCAAGGGATGCCACGGAGGCGCATTGTACTGGTCGTTTGAGATTCGTCCCATGGTTTTTTAACCAGGTACACTCGCAGATGGCGTGGAATAAAAGGAACAGTTTTGAAAGAACTACCACTTGCTTTGTGGGAATATTCATAGCATTGCCAGAAATTAGGGACCAGATGGCGGTTGCGCGTGCGCACCAAGGCCACAATGGCTGCGAATTCGTATAAGAAAATGTATGGAGAAAAGGAAACTTTTTCAAATATACCGATTATGAGCTCACGGGTGTTCGGTGCACGACTCGAAACATGTTAAGCGCTGTGCAACCTTCGCATCTGGGTTAAAAATAGCTAAGTAGAAGTAGGTTTACTTACTTCCCGAAGTGGCCACTTTTATCTCTCGTTTTACGCTCCATTTCTCCATACATTGTCTTAAAATCTTGCCGAAGTCATGCGAAATACTCGTCGATTAGAGGATAAACCCTTCACTGAAGTAAATTTGCACGACTCGATATCACTTCTGCGATGGAAGATGTTTCCAAAACAGTCGTTAAAAGGACGATTTTTGCACTGGAAAATACTTCCAAAGACGCATTATTTCCCTCAGTTTTCCATCTGTAGTCCAGTAATGGATGCCATAGTTGCGAATGACACATTTCGGTCGGACAAAGCTTCACAACTCCAAACCTCACCGAATCGCCATTTTGTTTGTTGCTACAACTCCAGAGATGCTCCACGGGATATAAACTAGGTTCCAGGCATTCAAAAATCCTCGATTAGCCTACCAGGCTTGGTTTTAAAACAAAATTGTCACGAAAATGTCACGAAAGGTACAGCCGCGTACTGTTTTGTTGCTATCAGCCGCTCGGCCGAGTATAAACCTAACATTTTCTTGCAAGGTGTTTCATTCCAGCTTTTTTCTTCGTAAAACAGATGCACAGAACTCCAATTATTTAAAAAATCGCATGGGATACGCTTTCCGTGACTACGATCGTTTTTGTCCGCCATTTTGGAAATGAGATTCCGCTGACAATTAATCACGGGCGCGAAATGTCCACTATTTCTGGCAATGTACAGGTGCATTTTAGCTGAAAGTATATTTGATGATGGACACGAACGAGGAAGATCTTCAAACTGGACCAATGAGCGCTTGTTGGGATATCCTGGGTGTTTGGATACTATAAGATATTCCAAACTGTTAAAGTTTACACTTCCCCTCTCTAACGTGACATCCTGAGTCACCCTGAGCTTGTACTCTTTACCGACGCCAGTGTCAAATGTCATCACACCACGTGCAGGGGGAGGTACTAACGCCGCCATCAACAAGACCATAACGCTTACTGCTGGTTGTTCCATGCCCTAAACAAAAACATGCAATTTAATGGACAAATGAAAAAGTCATTTGGTGACAGATCCTTCAGTGTGGCTGCGCCCACTTTATGGAACGCTCTTCCTGTTAGCCTCCGCAGCATCAAATGTATTTCTACTTTTAAATCTAATCTTAAAACTTATCTTTTTAAATTAGCTTTTAATATCTCTTAGATATCAAATATATTTGTATATTTCTAATATTTGTATTAATAGTTTTTAGGTTCTTTATTGTTGTAATGCGCTTTTGATCACCTGGCATGTTAAAAAGCGCACTATAAATGAATAAATTATTATTATTATTACAAGGGCAAGGTCTTATATGAGCATATGTGAGAACTAGTTATTGCCTCTAAAGTGGAAAATTAACGCACGATTTCTGTCATTTCTCTAGATCTTGAATAGTAATATTTATATTATGGTTGACTCTAAGCAGGCTACTTGAGCGAAGAAAATCAGGGGCACCCAACGAGAATATAGTTCAAAACCACTTAAACATAGCATTGTTAAACGTATTTTAGTATTTAAACGGTAGATATAGGCATATTTTTATCCCCTAAAAATTTTTCGTCTGTTCGGATTTCCTAGCTGAAAGTCTCGAGATCCGAAAACCATAGGGATCAAAACTTACCTTTTCAAAAATTTCAGCCAGAAAAAAGGCTCCCGAAAATTCTAGGTGAGCTTTTTAGGGTAAAAATCCGTTAAAAATGGCCAATTACACCCATTTTATAGATGTTTGAAAATTCTAGGAGAGGTAGAAAGGCAAGAAATTTTATAAAAAATATTCCGAAAATTCTAGATCTCAAATCGTCTTCCGAACAGATATTTTCCGAAAAAAATTAGCGTATATATTGCCCCCTTCCGATTGTCTGCCATGTTCTCAAAAGTCATAATTTCTTTTGGCAATATGATAAATCTTTTATTGACCAAGCGTAAAGTCAAGATGGGATATTACCTTTCTTTGTCTTCTGTGCGACTCCTCCTCCATCCATACTAATAAAGATGCATAAAAGCACCCGCCAATATCTAGCAAGATATTGACCTCACACTTGGTCAATAACGCGTGCACTTTTACGCTTGCTCAGTATACAGAGGTTTAGACGACAAATATCAAGTCATTTGTCTTAAAAATGAAAGTAATTAATCAAGTGAGTATATTAAGTAATACTCTTCTAATAGCGAACTTCTATTCTTAAACCAAAATTAGTTACTTAAGATGTTTCCTAACTTTAGTTAAAACCTAGTTGCGAAAGACTGAAACAATAGTCGTGATGTTTCCTGCACTAAACCGAGCTTACAACTCCTTTTTTTTTTAATTAACCTTATCTTATTATGTTTGTTTGTAAACTTAAAACTAACCCACGAACCCTGCTTGGGTATAACTATATTTAGTCTGTATTGTTTTGGATCACCGAGGCGTAAATTTTCTAACTATAGTTAGAGCGAACAGAGAAGCGGTCATAATACCGAAATAGCTAACTATAGTTATCCCCGTCTAAACCATAGTTAGTGATGTGACCGCAGCCAGTATTAGTCTTCTTCTCTTGTTTGGAGGCAAGCACACTTCCTTTCAAAAGAAAATCAAAGTTTTACTGGGAGGGACATTATCGTTTATTTAAGGAGCAAAAATGTTTCTTTTTTTATTTAAAAACTCTTTCTTGCGTCTGAAAAGTAATGTTTTAAATCAGGTTTTTGTCTCCCCTCTGACATGGAAATATGTACTTCCGCAATTACGCTTCCTAGATTAACACTCACTGTGCACTAAACATTCTTCAAAGTGTGCAAATACCTCAAAACAATGTCAAACCCTGTTCCTTACTTTAGTATCTCCAGGTGGAAAAACCCAAACACTGTAGACGAATGATTGAAATCGAGACCAATAGACCCTTCGTTTAGTTAGTATAGCTTCAGGCATTTACAGGTATGGTTTAACACTTACTTATAACCATTACACGGCCATGGCGAGTTTATTGCACGGTTTCTAGCTTGCTTAAGTCTAAATATTAAAACTCAATAGCTTCGTTACTTACCAGAAGTAAAAACAGGGAATAAGACTTCAATCCTGTTAAAAACTAGATCAGTCCGTTTTACTACTTATCAATGAAGGTACATTGATGCCACATCGATCTTTTACATCAGTGATGTCGTGATTCAGCATTTTTGACAGCATTATATTGTGCGGTTGTGAAGACATTTGATATAAGGCAGCTTAGCAACCACGACGGCAACGTTACCGTCAAAAAAGAAAGCGATACTCACTGTTTACAAACATTGAGTTTTTTATTGAAATGTGCAAACACGAAGGCGACGACAGTGACTGGTACGTCAAATAATAATAAAAAAGAACAACAATATTAGTGTTTCTAGGAGCGGATTACGTCAAGTCCGCCACGTTTTATGGTGAACGTAAACCCAACACAATTTTTTTTCTGTATTTCTCTTTCCTGAACTTGGACTGCAGGACTCTAAGAATTCCACTCCAGAAAATTCGCTTACATTTGCAGACAAATTAAACGAAATGGAATCATGCGACGAAGTTTGCCAAAGCGTGAAATGTTCCTGCAAGCGATGGACGTCATTGTCGAAGTATAATAATGATCATGATGGCGATGATGCTGCAAATGGTGTTGCTGATGTTGGCAGTGATGATAATGGTCTTATTGGTGGTATGACAACGATAATGATGATGATGAATGAAAAACGCAATCCATTAAAACCACGGATTCATGATCAGATCCTCAAGCAAGTGGGGAAAGCTGCTCATCCACACCGTGATAAGAGGGGGCCTGACCTAGAAAATAATACTTCTTGACCATGCGCGCTTCAGTTTGCCTTAAAAATAGGTTGGGGGCCCAGGTCCTCGTTCAGGCCCCTCTCCTAAATCTGCCAGTGAAAATGGTAATGTAACTGGCACGAAAGTGCTAATTGAGGACACTGTTTTTACATCTCCCACCAGAGATGGGACCGCCATTTCTACGTTGTCAGCTCAGCCATACAAGGGAAGGCCTTGCCTTTAGATGAGGGTACGTAAAATGCGACCTTATGTCATTCATCCGTACATCACACGTACGCTGAATCCAGTTCCAGATTGGATAAGAAGTAAGTGTGTTTTGGCCATTTGGGGACATTTTTTGCCCCATTTTCCTGCGCAATCTCGTTCAGTGGAACCTCTCCTTTGGGACTCCTCTATTCAAGGGGCACCCCCATTCAGGGGACACGAGCACGGGACACAAGATTTGGTCCCGGAGAAATGTTCACATAACCTTTGTATTTGTCGCCTCTATTGAAGAGACACCTCTATTCAGGGGAACGGGACACTTTTTCTGGGTCCCGAAACCTGAGTTTAACCTCTATTCAGGGATCACCTTAGCAATTAAAGTACGTCAAAAGTGACTGACCACAAAAACGTCGATTTTAAGTGTTCATTAGTCACAGGGGCGACAGCTTTCAAAACATCACACAATACCGCAAAGATAAGTTAATCGTGTTTTTTTTTAATACATCATATAGCTGCTCTGAATAACGACTGCAGCAGATTCTGTAGAGAGCAGAAGCCTTTATCGGCTCTAATAATAATACTTTATTTCTTGGTTAATTATCAACAAACCTCAGCCCAACCTCCATTCAAGAGACATCTCTATTCAGGGGACATGTCCCTTGGTCCCGAGGGTGTCCCCTGAGTACAGGTTCCACTCAGAGTAATAGCCAATAACTGAGACGCAAGTCCCACCGACCCAGCCTTTAGCGCAGCAAATCACTCCATATTTAATCTGTTTTTGTTTCCTTTTAAGAAACCCTTATTAGTAAAATTTGTCTTATGTAAAAAAAAAAAACTGCTTCATTACTGAGTGGTTTAGGGAATGTCCTACGGTAGTTTAATCCAGTTTCTTTAGCCTTTGACAATTTCTTGCCGTGAAACTTGACGTTGTAAATGACAAAATTACGGCTTCGTTACAAAAACATACTTTGATGCTTTGTCTCCTGCTTCCCTATGTGCTGATTCTGTTGCTGCGTTCCATTCAAGTATTTGTAATATCTTACATATTGATGACTTATTTTTCACATGACTAGTAATTTTATTTGTATTTATTTAGTTATCTGTTTTCATTTTGTTTATTTATTTCGCTGTCAATGTCATGAGCTTCCGTGTACTGACCGTCCATTGCCAGATTAGTTCGCCAGAGGCAATTATATCGGTTACAGATTAAAGGAGTCGTATAAGGCTGCTGTCCCGGGTTACTCATCACTGCAGTGCACCAAAACAAACGCATGCTTTGAAGTATCAGAATTGGCGTTACTGGCAAAGCGCGTATCTCTACCTGCATCCAGCTCGTTTGTTGCGCGTATCAACAAGCCGTTATTAGGTTCTCCACTACTCCAGGCCTTCACCGCATTTGTGACGTCAAACTCCACAAAACCTTTGGGTCTGTGGGGAAAGATAGTGACAGTTCCCTGCGGGGGAGTTGCCTCAGCGTCGGTGCCGTCCAGCGCTAGCCATCTGGAAGACCAAGGGATGCCAGGTAGGCGCATAGTATTGGTTGTTTGAGATTCAACCCACGGTTTTTTAACCAGGTGCACTTGCAGATGGCGTGGAATAAAAGGGACACTTTTGATAGCGTCAAAACTTGGTTTGTGGGAATATTCATAGTACAAGTATATTTTGGCTGAAATTGCATTTGATGAAAGACACGAGCTGGGAAGATCTTCAAACTGGACCAATGAGCGTTTGTTGGGATATCCTGGGTGTCTGGATACTATGAGATATTCATAACTGTTGTAGTTTACACTTCCACTTTCTAGCCAGACATCTTGAGTCACGCTTAGCTTGTACACTTTACCGGCGCCTGTGTCAAATGTCATCGCACCACAGGAGGAGTTACTCTGACACCGCCATCAAGAAGGCCATAACGCTTGCTGCTGATTGTTCCACGCCCTAATTTAATCGAAAAGGGCAAGGTCTTATATAAGGGTATGAGAGAGCTAGTTACTGCTTGTAAAGTGGTAAATTGACGCAACATTTCCGTCATATCTCTTGAATGGTGATATTTATTATTACCCGACTAGTTCAATCGATAAAAACCGATATCGGAAAACCGTTCGATAAATCGATAACTATCTAAAATTCAAATTTAAACGTTATCGATTTTATCGATCAATCGGTAGAAATCGATACTCACAACCATCGCTGCTCTTTTAAGGTATTTAATTTATTGATTTTATCGTTTTTATTAAGGACCGTGTATTGTAAATGCAAAGTACCGGTTCTTCCGAGATAGCCGGTTTAAAAAACAAGCTGTGTTTTTGCCGATACGTTTAATAAGGGTCTTACATCTGTTTTATCTGGGCGTCTTAAGACCTTCTCGCTCGCTCATAGCCCGGAATTGTAGTAAGCGCAAATAGGATCAACAGAATCAAACAAATGAGTTTCAAGAATTTCTTTTATTCGATAAACACAAATTCTTTAAACGGTTGCTGTCTTAACGGTGTTTAACTTGAATAGTTTCGAAGTAAAATGCAAGAAGTTGTTACGTTCTGTTTCTCCGCTGAATCATGTTAAGTATAGTACCGATAATGTTACATATTTGTTCAATATTTGATTTGTGAAATAAATCTTTAAACTTATCTTACGAGAGCAATTTTTTTGTTAGACTGGTTTTCGGGAAGTTCTGATGCTCCGCTGCCCTTAAATACGTGGAAACGTATTGTGCCGATAAATTTGATAAGTTCGATAAAATCGATGACAATAATTTAAAACTCGATAATTATCGATTAGTCACAACTTATCCCTCTATCGATTTTTATCGATTTTCGATACAATTAACTAATTCTTATCGATTTTATCAATTGTTATCGATTATCGGTTTTTTCGATTGAACTAGTCAGGATTATTATGGTTGGCTCCATAAGCAGGCTACAGGTGGTTTGCACAGTGATGTCCTCAAATTTTAAAGTCAAAATAGCGAAGTTTTACGAATTCTTATTTACACTATTTGTACAAGTTTCCAGTCCCGTAGAATGTTTCATTTCGAAAATACAGCAATTTGAACTTCCAAGTTGTCACAGTGCAAGACACCAAAATAAGAATGCTTTGTCGTTGAAAAAGAAAAGTCTCCGAGTCTCCTCTTGATTTTCAGCAGTATAACCATTTCAAGTATTAGAAGATGTGTTTATGCGCAAGTATGCTAGTTCTAGAGCGAAAAGAAAGACCTTTTATAGGAAAAGTGAACTCCAGGTGTTTTTGTTGATTTCCGACGGCCATATTGGTGTGTCAACGTCTCCATACTGAAAGGTGCGTTAAACGTTTCCGCAAATAACTCAGAAACTGTGGGTCACAAAGACCTGAGGCTTGGAAATTTTTTTATATATTAGTCTTTTATAACATTTAATTTTCTTGGCCTCCTCCACTTGACGGTTTCCAATTTATATTATTGTGCCGTGTTTATTGCGTGACAGTGAAAACAATCTTTTGCTACTTTAGCCTATATTGAAGTGAAAATGAGTCTATATTGTCCCCTTCCGATTGCCCACCTTGTTCTCAAATGTCATAATTTCTTTTGGCCATATCATAAATCCTTTATAGACCAAGCGTGAGGTCAAGATGGGATATTGGCTTTCTTTTTCTTCTGGCTAATATCTAGCAAGGTATTGACCTCACACTTAAGGTGATGTTACACGAGACGATTCGCAACGACGATTTTTAGCGCAACACAGCGTTGCAACATTGTTGCGACATTGTTTCGAATAGTTACAACATAGTTCCAACATTGCAACGCTGCGTTGCGCTAAAAATCGTCGTTGCGAATCGTCCCGTGTAATATCACCTTTTGTCAATAACGCGTGTACTTTTACGCTTGCTCAGTATAAGGAGGTTCAGACGGTTTCATCATATCTGAAAAATGTGCTGCTCAGTTGTTTCTCGTTTTCTGTTACCCGAGAACCCACGTAGAGAGCAGCAGAATAGGAATGTCCTTTAAATGTAGCCATTACACTAAAATTCGAACGTTCATTGTTTTTCTTCCTCCATGCACCTCATCATCAGTTAACACCGAACGGAAGTCATTGTTTGCATAGCCGCAACGTTTGGCACAGAACCAGCCAACACAAGTTGTAAACGCCAGTATTAAACACAATCAATCGCGTCTAAATCTTTAAACTGAGTAATCCAGAGCCACCACATTTCCACAGAATCCGGCCACATCCAATATTTCCGCATGAAATTGTTCAGTACACAGAGCCCAAGCTCGCTTCAACTGCAGCTTTTTTAAATCTTTTTTTCAGGTTTTAACTGTGAATTGCTAAGTTTAGTGGTACGTTTTTGGCTAGTTGAAAATTAGGCATAACGGTCTCTAGTTAATTCGTGAAGTACCAGTAACAACGTTAATGGCGGTTAACCACTATGGACAACAGAAGTGTATTTAATATTAACTGAATTATTCATAATCTTACCTGTTTCTTCCAGACGTGAAATATCAAAGTCATTTGTCTAAAAAAAGGGAAAGTAATTAATCAAGTGAGTATATTAAAAGCAAAATGGATATCGGTATTAGACCGCTTTTTCTCTTGGCTGGAAGAAAGGACACCTCTTTGAAAAGAAAATCAAAGTTTTACTGGGAGAGACATTATCGTTCATTTAAAGATGTCAAAGAGCAAAAATGTTTCTTTTTTTATTAATTTAAAAACAGTTTCTTGCGTCTGAAACGTAAGGTTTTAAATCGGGTTTTTTTTCCCCTCCGACGTGGAAATATCTACTTCCGCAGTTATGTTTTCTTGATTAACATTCACTGTGCATCACACGCGGCCATAGTAAGTTTACTGCACAGTTTCTTGGTTTGGCAAGTCTAAATATTAAAACGTAAAAGCTTTGCTACTTACCAGAAGTAAAAACAGGGAATAAGACTTCAATCCTGTAAAAAAACTGTGATCAGTCCGTTTTACTACTTATCAACGCAGATACATAGACGCCACGTATATTTCTGCCATCAGCGATGTCGTGATTCAGCATTTTTGACAGCATTATAAGGTGTGGTTGTGAAGACATTCGATATAAGAGATCTTAGAAACCACGGCGACAACGTCAACGTCAAAAAAGAAAGCGATACTCGCTGGTTACAAACACTACTTTTTCACTAATGAAACAAAAGAATCTTTAGTTTCAAGAAGCAATGCACATGTGGTTGGCACATGATTAGGGAGTTCACGCAACCAGCGACGGCGACGGCAACGTAGTTTATATTAAAGTGGAACCTCGACATAACGAACCTTATATAACGGAGTTTTCGGTATAACGAACGATTTTCTTGACTCCAGTCATAGTAAGATTTATTAAAAAGAAACTCCATATAGCGTAACTTCGAGATAGCGAACGCATTTTGCCAGCCCCTTGGCCCTTCGTTAAATCAAGGTTGTTCCACTGTGGAGAGATTAAGTATCGCGTTTACGGCAAACGTAAAATTCAAGATGAGATATTTTCGAAATGCATGAGTAATAAGGAGATAAAACTGCTCAAAACTATTCTTATGTATAGAATTGGCGTATATCTATCGATTTTTTTCGTAGTAGTTACAATGAACTGTAAACGACAAGTAAATGGAAAACTTGGGTCACGTAGTACAAATTCACTTTTACCGTTTGCCGTAAACGTGATATTAGCGTCTGCCATATTGGTGCCCCGAAGTGTTTTGGCCATTTTGCAGTTCTGAGTCGAATCATATCAATCATATCATGGAACAGTTTGGGGGACAATTTTTGTCCCATTTTCCTACACAATCTCGTACAATCTCGTACAGTGTAACCTCTGGGACACCTCTATTCAAGCCGGGACACCACCATTCAGGGGACACAAGATTTGGTCCCGGCAAAATCTTCATATAATCTTTGTATTTGTTACCTCTTTTGAACGGACACCTCTATTCAGGGGAAAGGGACATTTTTTCTGGGCCCCGAAACCTCAGGGTTTATCCTTCATTCATGGATCACCTTAGCAATCAAAAGTGCGTCCGAAAGTGACTGACCGCAAAAATCGTCGATATAAGTTTAAAGGTTCGCTTTTCACAATGGTGACAGCTTTCAAAACATGAATTAACTCACTTAAATCAATGCACTGCATTTGTGGGAATTCAACACACAAAATCGCAGAGATTCGCAGAGATAAGTCAATCATGATTTTTTAAATATATTTTCTAGCTGCCTGAAATGATGACTGCATCAGATTCCGTAGCCTGTGAGAGCAGATGCCTTTATCGGCTCTAATAACAATATTTTATTTGTTGGTTAATTATTAACAAATCTCAGCCCAACCTCCATTTAAGAGACACCTCTATTCAGAGGACATGTGCCTTGGTCCCGAGGGTGTCCCCTGAGTACAGGTTTCACTCAGAGTAATAGCCAATAACTGAGACGCAAGTCCTATAGTGCAATTCGACAATACACCGACCCAGCCTCTAGCGCAGCAAATTACTCCATGTTTAATCGGTTTTTGCTTCCTTTTAATTAACTCTTATTAGTAAAATTTGTCTTATTTACAACAAACTGCTTCATTACTGAGTGGTTTAGGGAATGTGCTACGACAGTTTAATCCAGTTTCTTTAGCCTTTGACAATTTCTTGCCCTGAAACTTAACGTTGTAAATTACAAAACTACGGCTTCGTTGCAAAAACATACTTTGAGCGTTGACTTGAGTAGTCAACGTGATGCGGCTATTTTAAGTGTAAATACGCAGAGAATTCCAGTTTACAGGAACAGCAACTGTGCAAAGATTGAATATTTGGAGATGAGCTGCAGGTCAAGACGTTTAATTTCTTTCGGGGCTTTTTCTGCAACCCCGAACTAATACCCGCGAAAGTAAAATATAAAAATATGGAAGTAGAGGACACAAAAATGGATTGTACTTACAGCGATCGCTTGCTTGAAACACTTACCTCTCACATGAAATGAATTACAATCCAGGAAAGAACTCCAGAACAGAAAACCAACTCACTAGCATAGCTATCCATTGAAAAATCCTTAAAGACGGCTTGCAACCTGTAGAAGCACTTGGCGGATATGAAAACAAAAGTTGAAAGGAAACCAACAAAAGCACATGTATCTGAAGCTTGGCTCGAAAGTAGAATCATTGACTTGCAAAAGAGGGCGCGATGGTCGACAAAGGGCCTGATACCGGAAGCGTGATCTGTGTCTATGATATAATTTTTTAATAATCTTTTGCATGAGCAGGTGGAATTGATAGGGCTTTACACAAGTTGCTCGAGATTTTCCATGAAAGTTACCCGTGATTTCACAAAAAGTTGCTCAAACGTTGCTCAGGAAACAACAAAAGTTGCTTTTTGTAACGAAACTTGCTCAAAAGTTGCTCGAAAAAACAAAACATTTTTTGTCTGATGCTAAAATATGCAAACTGTACAGCAAAAATAAGATTTCTAAGCATTTTTGTGCAATTTTGCGGCGTAACCAGCGTTGCTAAACAACTTTGTCCTCAATTGTAAAACCAAAAAATGTAATGAGCCAATAAAATTGTTGAATGACCCTCTTCACCCGAGACACTCAAGTCAGTCGAGTGTGACTGATGTTCGTCCACCATTTTGAATTTTCTCCAAAAACCGCTGACCTAGAAGCCCGACTACTTTTATACTTTAATCTGCCTCAGGGGGAGGATTTGGTTCCTTTTTTTTACAGGAAATTCATAAGTTTTCTACTGATAAAACATTGTGGAATATGGAAGAAAGGCCAATTTAAACTCTAAAAGCTGCTTGATATCTCACAATTAGAAGATAACTAGAGAAATTGCTCATGGAAAAAGTAGCTGGAAACGAAAAAAGTTGCTCAAAATACGAGAAGTTGCCAAAAAGTTGCCAAGCAACTTGTGGAAAGCCCGAGGAATTGAATGAAGCAAAAGAAATCGAAATAACGAGAGGGACATGCGTAATAAACCATCACAAAAAAGGTGCATCAAAGCCGCCCTTTATTCTACTCTATGCTTTACTTAATTGAACGACTTTCTTAGTTTCTGTCTGCTTCAGCCATAGTGTTGAAAGGACTTTCTCAGGGGACTAGCTTGCCCTTACAACAAACAATTTTTTGTGACTCATGCGCAATGGTGGTTTATTCACTTGCAGCTCCTAGCTTACAATTCTCTCTCTGGTAGTTTAGTGTTCCACTCATTTTATACCAGCCTGTAAACCATCCACTTAGTGTAAACTAATGCAGGCGTAAGTCTAATCTGATTGGTTGAAAAAGCCTGAAAAGCCTAATTAGCATGCATGAAATCTTCGAGATAATTATTTTGTCAAAATGGTTTTTCTACCTAAGTTTTCACTAAGATTAAGGTTAGGTCAACTGGCCAATACCAAACAAGGAGAACAATTTACTACAAGGTATATAGTCGTGTACAGACTTTTCATAATGAAAGAAAGGAAAACACCGTGACTAAATAGACAGGTTGAAAATCTAAGGTTGTTGTCGATTTACAGAAGGTGTGAAGCTTCTTTATTGAAAATGATTGGCTAAAACTTTTCCATAAATTAATCACTCAGAGGGTAAATTAAAAATGCTGCTCAAAGTACAAGGCGGAATTTAGATCAATAGTCGTTTACCCACAAAAACACCTATAAAATCACTTAAATCTAATTAAAGTTATCCACTGCCATGAATTCGGTTAAAAACTCAAGGAAACAGGCTTAAAACTGTTAAAAACAAGTAAGGTAGTCATTTCCTGGTAAACATGGACATAGGACCAGATTAAGGTCCAAAATGTTAAATTGAACAAAATACTTAGTGTAAACAAGGCTTTGCCATCTGTCAAAGGCTCAAATTAAACATATTTCATGAATAGAAGTGTTACCGCGGAGATTCACCAAATTGGTACATCTCCTTTGCACCAAATTCATGTCAGGAGAAGGTTAATGTTGATGACTATTTTAAACGTCGAACTTGTAGACGAAAGTGTATGATTCCATTCATGCATTTTTATTGTTTAACAATAGAGATAGCTACAGTTTATGCTCAGTCTCGAGAAAAAAATTATTGCACAGAAAAGAATTACATCAAAGCTGAAGCCACACTAACAAAGAATGCGGGAATGAATGCCATCAAAAAGCTTCTTTATGAACGGATCAACCAACCCCGTACCATCCTCATTTGCAGCGCACCAAAACAAACGCGTGCTTTGAAGCGGTGTTGGCGTTGGAGGCAAAGCGTGTGTCCCTGCCAGGACTAAACTCGTTTGTTGCGCGTATCAACAAGCCGTAATTAGGTACTCCTCTACTCCAGGCCTTCACCGCATTTGTGACGTCAAACTCCACAAAACCTTTGGGTCTGTGGGGAAAGATGGTGACAGTTCCTCGTTGGGCAGTTGCCTCAGCGTCTCTGCCGTCCAGCGCTAGCCACGGGGAAGACCAACGGATGCCACGTTTGCGCATGGTACTGGTTGCTTGAGATTCAGCCCACGGTTTTTTAACAAGGTACACTCGCAAATAACGCAGAATGAAAGGGACACTTTTGATAGAGCGAAAACTTGCTTTGTGGGAATACTCATAGTACAAGTACATTTTGGCTGAAATCACATTTGATGATGGACACGACCTGGGAAGATTTTCAAACTGGACCAATGAGCGCTTGTTAGGATATCCCGGGTGTTTGGATACTATGAGATATTTCAAACTGTTGAAGTTTCGGCTTCCCCTCTCTAGAGTGACATCTTTAGTCACACTTAGCTTGTGTACTTTACCAGCGCCTGTGTCAAATGTCCTCACACCACACGCAGGGAGAGGTACTAACACCGCCATCAACAAGGCCATAACGGTTACTGCTGATTGTTCCATGTCCTAAACAAAAACATGCAATTTAATGGACAAGGGCAAGGTCTTATATGAGGATATGTGAGAACTAGTTATTGCCTCTAAAGTGGAAAATTAACGCACGATTTCCGTCATTTCTCTAGATCTTGAATGGTAATATTTATATCATGGTTGACTCTAAGCAGGCTACTTGAGCGAAGAAAATTAACTTATATATTGCCCCCTTCCGATTGTCCGCCATGTTCTCAAAAGTCATAATTTCTTTTGGCAATATGATAAATCTTTTATTGACCAAGCGTAAAGTCAAGATGGGATATTACCTTTCTTTGTCTTCTGTGCGACTCCTCCTCCATCCATACTAATAAAGATGCCTAAAAACACCCGCCAATATCTAGCAAGATATTGACCTCACACTTGGTCAAGAAGGCGTGTACTTTACGCTTGCTCAGTATACAGAGCTTTAGACGACAAATATCAAGTCATTTGTCTTAAAAAATGAAAGTAATTAATCAAGTGAGTATTTTAAGTAATACTCTTCTAATAGCGAACTTCTATTCTTAAACCAAAATTAATTTTTTTAAGATGTTTCCTAACTTTAGTTAAAACCTAGTTGCGAAAGACTGAAACAATAGTCGTGATGTTTCCTGCACTAAACCGAGCTTACAACTCCTTTTTTTAAATTAACCTTATCTTATGTTTTGTTTGTAAACTTAAAACTAACCCACGAACCCTGCTTGGGTATAACTATAGTTAGTCTGTATTGTTTTGGATCACCGAGGCGTAAATTTTCTAACTATAGTTAGAGTGAACAGAGAAGCGGTCATATTACTGAAATAGCTAACTATAGTTATCCCCGTCTTAACCATAGTTAGTGATGTGACCGCAGCGAGTATTAGACTTCTTCTCTTGTTTGGAGGCAAGCACACTTCCTTTCAAAAGAAAATCAAAGTTTTACTGGGAGGGACATTATCGTTTATTTCAAGCAGCAAAAATGTTTCTTTTTTATTTAAAAACACTTTCTTGCGTCTGAAAAGTAAGGTTTTAAATCAGGTTTTTGTTTCCCCTCTGACATGGAAATATGTACTTACGCAATTATGCTTCCTAGATTATCATTCACTGTGCACTAAACATTCTTCAAAGTGTGCAAATGCCTCAAAACAATGTCAAACCTTGTTCCTTACTTTAGTATCTCCAGGTGGAAAAACCCATACACTCTAGACGAATGATTGAAATCGAGACCAATAGACCCTTCGTTTAGTTAGTATAGCTTCAAGCATTTACAGGTATGGTTTAACACTTACTTATAACCATTACACGGCCATGGCAAGTTTATTGCACAGTTTCTAGCTTGCTTAAGTCTAAATATTAAAACTCAATTGCTTCGCTACTTACCAGAAGTAAAAACAGGGAATAAGACTTCAATCCTGTTAAAAACTGTGATCAGTCCGTTTTACTACTTAGCAATGAAGGTACATTGATGCCACATCGATATTTTGCATCAGTGATGTCGTGATTCAGCATTTTTGACAGCATTATATTGTGCGGTTGTGAAGACATTCGATATAAGGCAGCTTAGCAACCACGACGGCAACGTTACCGTCAAAAGAGAAAGCGATACTCACTGTCAGTACAAACATTAATTTTTTTTATTGAAATGTGCAACGAATGAAACATTGCACTTGAGGTTGCCACGTGATAAGGGAGCTTACGCAAACACGACGGCGATGATAACGACTGGTACTTCAAATTATGATAAAAAAGAACAATAATATTAGCGTTTCTAGGAGCGGATTACGTCAAGTTCGCCATTTTGGCGTCTCTATACAACAAAACGGTGGCAATGTTGGCGTCCCAATAAATTTGCATGGCTGCTGACCACTTGAGTGAAAACGCTCTAACAGCACACCTTTCGGTACATTTCTTTCACAAATTTCACGTTTTATGGGGAACGTAAACACAACACGATTTTTTTTCTGTATTTCTCTTTCCTGAACTTGGACTGAAGGACTCTAAGATTTCCACTCCAGAAAAATTTGCTTACGTTTGCAGACAAATTAAACGAAATGGAATCATGCGACGAAGTTTGCCGAAGAGCGAAATGTTCCTGCAGGCGATGGACGTCATTGTCGAAGAAAAATAATGATCATGATGATGATGATGCTGAAAATGGTGTTGCTGATGTTTGCAGTGATAATTGTGGTCTTATTGGTGGTAAGACGACGACGATAATGATGATGATAAATACAAAACGCACTCTATCACGGATTCATGATCAGATCCTCAAGCAAGTGGAGGAGGCTGCTTATCAAGACCCTGATGAGAGCGAGCCTGACCTAGAAAATAAGATTTGTTGACCCTGCGCGCTTCCCTTTGCCTTAAAAATAGAGTGGGGGCCCAGGCCCCTCGGTCCCCTACCCTAAATCTGCCAGTAAAAATGTCATTGCAACTGGCAAGAAATTACTAATTGAGGACATTGTTTTTACATCTCTTACCGGAGATGGGACCGCCATTTCTACATTGTCAGCTCAGCCAAGTGAAGGCCTAGCCGTTAAATAGTGACAGCAAATGTGAGGATGTGTAAAATGCGACATTACATGTCATTTATCTAAAGCGCTGAATATACATTACCCCACAACACACGTACGCTGAATACAGTTGCAGATTGGAAAAGTATAGTAGTAAGTGTGTCTTGGCCATTTTGCAGTCTTGTGTGTAATTGCACCGTGGAATAGTTTTGGGGGACGATTATTTGCCCCAGTTTCCTGTGCAACCTCGTAATAGTCAACAAATAGTGAGCTTAAGCAAAGATATTTTTGAGCGACGCACGCACTTCAACCGGAAGATGTGGTTTTTCATTTTTGGACGGTGGTTTTGCCCAAATTTTTGAACAAATCGTCTCTATAATAGTAAAGACAGTTAAAAATACATATTTGGTAGCGTCAAGGAGCTTTAAAATGAAGAAGACCTCACTTCCGGTTAAAGTGCGAAGCACAAAAACGCCTTTGCTCTGGCCTGTGCTTAAGCTTCCTAGTAAGACGCGATAGCGTCCCAGAAACAGTCCCATAATGCAACTGGACACGACGCCGAGCCAGTCTTTCGTGCAACAAATCACTCCATATCTAATCAGTTTTTGTTTCCTTTTAAGAAACTCTTTTCAGTAAATTTTGTCTTATGTACAACAAACTGCTTCATTACTGAGTGGTTAAGGGACTGTGCAACGGCAGTTTAATCCACTTTGTTTAGTCTTTGACAATTTCTTGCCCTGAAACTTGACGTTGCAAATAACAAAATTACGGCTTCGTTACAAAAACATTCTTTGAGCGTTGACTTAAGGAAGTCAACATGATGCCGCTCTTAATGTATAAATAGGCAGAGAACTCCAGTTTACTGAAGCAGCAACAGCACAATTGCAAAGATTGAACATTTGGAGATGATCTGCAGGTCAAGACGTTTCGTTCGGGGCTTTTCCTCCAACGAAATTTATTTTGTTTTCTTCTCTCTACGCGTTCTACAACTTCGAACTAATAGCCCCGAAAGTAAAAGGTAAAAATATGGAAGTAGAGGACACAAAAATGGATTGTACTTACAGCGATCGTTTGCTTGAAACACTTACCTCTCACATGAGATGAATTACAATCTAGGAAAGAACTCCAGAACAGAAAGCCAACACACTAGCATAGCAATTCATTGAAACATCCTTAAAGACGGCTTGCCACCTGTAGAAGTACTTGGCGGATACGAAAACAAAAGTTGAAAGGAAACCAACAAAAGCACATGTATCTGAAGCTTGGCTCGAAAGTAGAATCATTGACTTGCAAAAGAGGGCGCGATGGTCGACAATGGGCCTGATACCGGAAGCGTGATCTGTGTCTATGATATAATTTTTTAATAATCTTTTGCATGAGCATGTGGAATTGTAGGGCTTTACACAAGTTGCTCGAGATTTTCCAAAAAGTTACCTGTGATTTCACAAAAAGTTGCTCAAAAATTGCTCAGGAAACAACAAAAGTTGCTTTTTGTAACGAAACTTGCTCAAAAGTTGCTCGAAAAAACAAAACATTTTTTGTCTGATGCTAAAATATGCAAACTGTACAGCAAAAATAAGATTTCTAAGCATTTTTGTGCAATTTTGCGGCGTAACCAGCGTTGCTAAACAACTTTGTCCTCAATTGTAAAACCAAAAAAATGTAATGAGCCAATAAAATTATTGAATGACCTTCTTCACCCCAGACACTCAAGTCAGTCGAGTGTGACTGATGTTCGTCCACCATTTTGAATTTTCTCTAAAAACCGCTGACCTAGAAGCCCGACTACTTTTACACTTTAATCTGCCTCAGGGGGAGGATTTGGCTCCTTTTTTTACAGGAAATTCATAAAGTTTTCTACTGATAAAACATTGTGGAATATGGAAGAAAGGCCAATTTAAACTCTAAAAGCTGCTTGATATCTCAGAATTAGAAGATAACTAGAGCAATTGCTCATGGAAAAAGTAGTTGGAAACGAAAAAAATTGCTCAAAATACGAGAAGTTGCCAAAAAGTTGCCGAGCAACTTGTGCAAAGCCCGAGGAATTGAATGGAGCAAAAGAAATCGAAATAACGAGAGGGACATGCGTAATTAACCATCACAAAAAAGATGCATCAAAGCCGCCTTTTTTTCTACTCTATGTGTAAAGTATTAAGTGCTTACGTCCTTAAATACAGTGAAACAAATATAAAGTCTTATATTTAACTCTTACAAACAAAACATTGTACGAGACGCTTTACTTAATTGAACGACTTTCTTAGTTTCTGTCTGCTTCAGCCATAGTGTTGAAAGGACTTTCTGAGGGGACTAGCTTGCCCTTACAACAAACAATCTTTTGTGACTCATGCGCAATGGTGGTTTATTCACTTGCAGCTCCTAGCTTACAATTCTCTCTCTGGTAGTTTAGTGTTCCACTCATTTTATACCAGCCAGTAAACCATCCACTTAGTTTAAACTAATGCGGGGGTAAGTCTAATCTGATTGGTTGAAAAAACCTGA